TCTTAGTTAAGTTAGTACTACACCTACTTATTTTACTTAATTAATTTAATTTAAGTTTAAAGTTACGTACTACTATATATATATATATATATATATATATATTTAAATAATATCTAATTATTGTTATGTGCTTGCCTGGCAAGGAGTATTGCGGAGTCAGTATACTCCAACTATTTATATGAATATGACAGAAGGGAATTATGACGACTGACATGTCAGACTCAGTAATCGACACCGTGTCAGAAGACTGCTGCACAACCATATGGTTGACAACCTTATCCTGACCAATGAGTAAGGTAGGAGTAAGTATTCCAATTAGGTGAGATATGGTTGGTACCAACTGGATATCCAAATCCCAGAGAGTAGTGAGATGAGTTAAGTCCTTGGAATTATGTGACACAGGATAGGCTTTTAAATAGGCTGACATCAGTGTTCGAAGGATTAACTTCATATTTACTGAACTAAAATAAAGAGGTTTTTGGTGTCAAGAGTATACGGTATACTCTGCACCTATTTTTCCACCAAACTACTGAGTATATCCTGAGCACATTACATTATATATATATATATGAAATTCTGAACCTCTGAAGAAGTCTGAGGGAGCAAGGCCGGGTCACCAATGAAGGTCCAATAAAAGCGTAGTAAAACCATGCGAAGCTTGTATTGGACAACATAAACTACAACATAAAATGTAAATGGGTTTTTCCTACATAAGGTGTTTTCCCCTGTTCATGAATTAGTCATGACAGAAATAATTCTCAGTAAAAATGCTTTGAGCCGGCAACACAATGAAGCACTTATTCTAAGCTCTTATAATTGACAGTCTAACAGTGCACACCCGAATTAAAATTATCTGGAGGTTTTCTTATTTTTCATGACCCTCTCATCTTTCTCTCTCTACTACTACTACTACGTACTCTCCATGCTAGTAGTACAGACATAATAGAGAAAAGTGTAAATGTATTTTATAAAAGGGAGAACAACTCAGTCTCTGATCAGTGACTGAGTCAGTGGTCACTCTCTGGGGGAAATCTGGGGTTATGTAGGAGGGGCTGGAGGATAGTCAGATACGGCGCGCTCGAGTTAGGAGCAACTTTGTTTTGTGCAAAAAATAAAATAAATACTGAATACTGACCGTCTGACCGACTGACCCCCCCGCGCCCCCGGCCCCTCTATGGGCCGGCTATGGCCTACTCTCTACTAGAGAGTCTAGAGTAGCCGCCTTCCAGAATTTAGGGTGTTTTCTATGTAAATACCTCCTGAGTCCTGACTCGCTTTTTTTTCGTTTTGTAGTAGCCTGTATGACTAAATGTAGGAATGTAGGGGTAAGGGGGCTACGTATTTTAATAGAGTTCATATGTATTACTAATTTTTTTTAAATATTTACTTTTTTAAATCATCTTTTTTAGGGTTTTAGTAAACCTTTTTTTTTCAAAAGTAGACTTCTGAATTTACCTTCATGGACATGACTCTCTCTCCTACTCTTTCTACTCTAGAGTGTAGAGCGATAGAGAGAGAGAGAGATAGAATTGGAAATTTTATTAGAATGTAGAGTGTAGCCTGCAGAGCGGACTGTAGACTCACTCGTAGTAGAGACTCTACATACATAGTGTGTTTACTGTTTACTTTTAGTGTAGTGTAGACTGTAGAGTGTAGACAGTAGAGTGTAGACAGTAGAGTGTAGACTACATGGAGGTAGAGTGTAGACTGTAGTGTGTAGAACTGTACATAGCCTCAGACTGTAGAGTAGCATAGTAGTAGACTGTAGAGATAGAGAGATGGGAGTATGTTAATAGTATTTATTCAAAAATAGAGAGAGTAGAGAGAGAGTGAGATTGAGAGTGTATGTAGACCAGAGTCACCAGTGAGGTCGTCTGAGGAGTGACGAGTGACGACTGTAAATAGAGTGTGAAATAGAGTTGAGTAGACTCTGTTTTGTATTGTATTTTGTTCTTGTTTTTTGGGGGGTTTTTTTTAAAAGTATGTGTACATAAATAAGGCCAGAAATGAGAAATGAGAAATGAGAAATGAGAAATGGACGACAGACCTAAGCTCAATGCGTTAAAAGTTGCTTTTATTATGCCTCGAATAAACATTAAAGTTGTAGCTTTTATATCTCGATAGTACACTTCCATAAATGATAGGTGCATTTTCCAGGTCACTCAGGTGACAGTCTTCACAACTGAAACGCTCAATCTCTTTTGATTACCTATTATCAATTTCGTGGCCTAAAATTTTCAACGATCGGACAGCTTTTTGAGTGCAGTTTCCAAAATAACTTTGTGGTTGATTTGTCCTAAATAAAAGCTATAACTTTTAAAAATCAAAGTTAACATTAAAGTTGGAACTTATATTCCGTACCCCTATAACTTATTGAGCTTAGTGACAGACACGAAAATGAAATCCCAAATAAACTTGGTGTGATGGTCTGATGGATCGTGCATTGAAGCAAGGGAGACCTAAAGTAGTAAAGCTAAATAAAATGGCTTTATATATATATTTTTTAAATAAAAGGCTAAAGTTTTTCTTTTTAAAACAATAAGAGTTGAAGCCTATAAGGCAGTGTGATCAATATATATTTCTAAAAAAACATACCTGACCTCATTGGTTAACCTATTTTTCATAGCCTCCTAATGGAACATATTTCATAGCCTTCTGTGTCTAATTTGAATATATTTTTAGAAGGCTATGCATATTTTTGTCGATACTTTAAAATTTATTTTAATGCTCGCTCCATTCCATGGCACAGGGTATTTTTTTTAAACAGACCAGAAATGACAAACCATTAAAAATACATGAACAACAGAGGGCCCTGGGCCACGGCCCACAGACCCCACGGGCCACGGCCAAGTCGGCCACCGTACACTATACAATCATACATGCGTGAACAAATACTATATTTTTTTGAAAAAGTGCATATTGTTTTGTTATTTGTTTTGTCTTGATTTTTAAAATATAAAATATAAAATGTTCTACTTACGAGGGCAAAAAGTGAGGGTAACAGAGAAAACTAAAAATATGTTAATAAATACTTGGGAGAAATGCCTACAAAGACGGGTCTAATAGCTAGAGAGTGACCACTGCATTATCGTGTAGCATCGTAGGACGTAGGGCCGTATACCCGTTGTTTCGTATGAAATTGATCACGCAAGTCGCCACACATATATATTTGAAAGAAAAGAGAGAAAGAAACAGGACAAGCCTGCATATGTAACAAATATATACGCATTATACTATCAGTTTTTGTTCTTTAACACGTAGTTATTAAAATACATTTGGTAATAGCAATATCTGATCAGTTCAGAACGAAGGTACTCATACCGCTATGAATTCAGAGAAAATCGAAATCTCGACAATGAAGTCAATGCAACCTAAAGCAGTATCGAGAATCCTCTTCGGAAAAGGTGATGTACCTGATGCAGACTCGACAATAAGTATATCTACCCTCGAATCCTCGGCCAGGATAAATCATCATTGTCAATTGTCAAGATCATATCATAGTGCTGATCCGCAAATGATCAGGTAAGCGAAATTTGATGCTATTTCAATATCCTTTGTATATACGACACCATAGATAATTGTTATACAAGTAAATTTATATATTTTACTATCAATTTATGTAGATTATCATGTGCATGAATGTAGTTAATAGATACTGACTATGCTGTGTTAAGATGTACACACAGTTTTGATCTGATACATATACGCTTCATGCATACTGATAACAGAAATTACAGAAAAATAGCGAAGGACAAATATGTAGTCTGTGCTGCGATCTTGGTGATCGAAATGATAACTGAGAGAAGTCAATCTTTTCGCCGCATTGGTAGTTGTTGATATAGATGGAGATATTGGCATTATACGCCCTCAGTCGAGGAATGACTGCGCTTTAGTGTATGCAATTAGCGTCTCTGTCTCCATCGTTCGCTTGAACAAGTATGGATGCTATAAATCAGTACCTTTTTTTGGGCAAAATTGTCGCTGGCTTTGTATTTTGAATCCCATACTGTATTTGTTCTAATGCGACGACGATAGGCATTTTCTTTTACCCATTTATACTTGTAACATATTCAATAGCTATCATGGTTACACAGGTTTTCAGTGTGATTACTATTTGTTTAAATATATCAGTGAGGCACTTTGTCAAGCAATTCACCGATTTGGTCTCTTTCACCTTTTGCCAAGCAACCAGCGCGAATAACTCGACGCATTTCGATGCCTACAATCTCACAAATATACTTGTATATCAGGAGTGGAGGTGAGACTCCGAGCAAGTCGTCCAAGTCAGCTGCGAATACAATTGTCGATGAAAGGCGATCACTCTCCTTACGTATGCCATTGTGGGTTGTCACATCTATGGCAGATTTAATTGTCTTTGCGGCTGCGTGGATTCTGATACTTTCTGTATATCATGTTATCGGCGAGGACGCTACTCAGAACCCATTCAGGGGCAGCGACATCATTCTGCCGTGTGTGTATTGTGTGTACAGCTTTCTACTGTTGGCAGCTGTTACCGTGACTGTTGCCGTAGTATATAATCGGAATGAAAACGAGATAAGAACGCGCAACATACAATTCATAGTGCAAGTTATGGTGTGCACGTATGCTGCTCTGATAATTAGATTTATGGCTGTGATGGTAGTTTACGATAAGCTCTCAATACCGCCCGGCTCCGACCTCTACAAAATCTTTATGACCCTCGCCATACATGGCTCTATCGCCGGGATGCTCATGGTGACCTCCGCCGTGACATTGAGATTGGTGTGTGAATTTTGTTCTAATAGAACTGTTTTGCATATGTACAGTGCTGAGATAGGTATATAGTGCTGTCAAGGTTGTTCATATATTGCTGGCAAGGCTGTGGATATAGAATACAATGTTACAACGGGTTTTTGTATGCTTTATAGAGTACATGCCATGGAAAAGAAATACCTTCCCGTTATATTACAAGTCCGACCATCAGAGACAACGGAGTGGGTAACGCCACGTGTTGCAGTTTGATGAGCCTGAATTGAAGAAGTCGATATTTTTACTTATGCACTATAATTTTAAAATTTTTGTTTGTGCAGAGAATAATTTACAAGATATGGATTTGCAACGACATACATGCATCCTATTGCTTTGGTCTGATTTACCACGTCCCCCTTATGATGGTAGCAACTACCCCGACGATGATCCTAGATTTGTGCAGGAAAGGCTTGTCTTTCTCCCAGGTTAGTGTGCGTGTCCTATTTCCAGATACAAAGTTGTGACATGTAACAAAATTTGCATTTACTTGTGTATATATACATATTATACCCTTTTGCGGTATAAATTCATATATAACTATATCTATATCCAAATATGCTTATATATATATCTATATCCAAATATGCTTATATATATATATTTATATATATCCATGTATGCTTATATATATATATATATACATATATAGACTTATATATCCATGAATATATATACATATTTATCTAAGTATTTTTTTACTTATATATGTATATATTATGTATGTTGCTATATTGATATGTATGTGTAAGTATATCTATGTATATATGTGTGCACAAATGTACAAAGATATATATATGTATGTATGTATATAATTATTATAGATATATACATCTATATATGTATATGTATATGTATGTATACATATATATATATATATATATTCTGGATTTATTTACATACATATACCTATACATGTGTAAAAACAGAATGTATGTTTACATGCATATATATATATATGTGGGTGTGTGTGTGTGGGTGTATGTGTATATATGTATACATATACATAGTAATGTATGCATATACATGTGAGTATATACACACATATATATATATGTATATGTTTACATTAATACATACTTAATATATGTGTGTGTGTATGTGTGTGTGTGTCTGTGTGTTTACTATATAGTATGTATATGTCTATTACATATATGCATACAAACATACATACATAATATTTATTCATATTGTATAAATATATATATATATATACGTATATATATTATATGTGTGAGTGTGTGTTTTTGTTTGTGCCCGTGCATACATGCATACACGCACAAATTTCTATCTATATATGTAAGTATGTATGCATATGTAGGTACACACATGCACACGCAGATATATATATATATATATATATTATGTAATATTATATATATTATATGTAATATTATGTATATCATATTATATTATAGTATGCTTAATATTTATATTGATACATACATGTACATATCTATATCTATATATATCTATATACGTTTATATACGTTTATATACAATTATACATATATATGTATAAATCATACTAATATATATATATGTATATATATAAATATACATATATCCATGGACATAAACATACACACATATATATGTGTATTTATATATATATGTAGGAGAGGTATATACTTGTCTGGAAGGGCATTGCATTGTTTTGTTTTTGTGATATATTTTTATTATCATTCGCGATTCCCCGTTTTTTTAATTTCGCACATCTTTCTTTTCACACGGTTTTTTCTGACATACTCTGTCAACTCACTTCGATATATAGTTATACTGGCCAATTTTTGGCGCGTATGTATTCTTCTTCGCCGAGTGCGGGTTCTACTTCTGGAAAATCAAGCGTATTTCCTCGATTCTTGTGGACTTTAGCAGGTGAGAGCTCTTGTTTCTTTAGTCGGAATCAAATGTATATATATATATGTGTGTGTGTATGTATGTTTGTGTGTGTGTGTGTGTGCACAACTATAGCCTTATTCGTTCCTATATATATGAAGGTACAAATGTCTACTGATATAACCTCGTATGTTCGAAACAAGACGGGAAAATTTTCATCGCATATAAAAATCGGGCAATAGTTAGCGTCCTTTTGTAGAAATTTGTGCAACATTGTTCTCTTGCGTGTGGCTTCCAGTTATGTAGGTATTCTTTCGCATGTACAGTACTCTGTTTCGTACCAGATATATGCTAGAACGAGCAAAGTTGTGTTGCCGAAGCCAGAGCTATTTACTAGCGTATACATTATAGAGACTAGGTCAATCGTTCATAATATTCTTATCTATATCTGTGTATCTATGTATATATCTATATATATTTATATATCTATATATATGTATATGTATGTACTCATATGTATGTATGCATATGTATGTTTGTATGCATATGTATGTATATCAATATATATTATATGAACATAAAAAATTATGTATACATGTATTATATATGAACATATGTAATTAAGTATGTATTTATACATATATGTGTACTTGTACTTATACTTATACTTCTGCTTGTCTATTTGTATATGTATATATATATATGTGTGTGTGTGTGTGTGTGTGTGCATATATATATATATGTGTGTGTGTGTGTGTATAGGTATATGCGTATATACGTGTATGTACATATCTGTATATTGAAGTCAATTTATGTCAACCCTTCCCAGTATACACACATAATGTATCACAGATATACTTTCCGGTGAACTTCCACACACCTCTCATACTCCCTTTATTGTCTTGCCCATTACAGCACATTGCGTATTGGTGCGATGGTTCTCGGCATGTTCTCGTTTCAGCTAATATACGAGGGTATTCTCGGACGCCTGGATATAATTGCTGTGTTGTCCTTTTTTTTTATGACGCCTGCTACGCTATTTGTCATCTGGCTCGAGATATTGGGTCCCGCTTTGGTGAAGATAACGGGGCGAAAATTACGCGCGTCCTTCTTGGGAGGATTGGATTTGTGGGGTATAGCCGATGAACTTGGGTCCAGGTAAGGGAATTTGAGCTTTTTCCAAGGTACATTGCATCAGACAAAGAAATATCATATATCAATTTACATTTGCTTTGCCGTTTAGTTTACCTTTCTTTATTCGTCCACAAAGCTAGCCGATAGCGCCCCCACTGTTAACCATCGACATTTGTACTAAACCTGAAAAACTAAACTCGCAAATCACATGCTATACCTCAGAGGGTTCGACGATGTACTATCCGATCCATACTTGTCGGAAAAGTTCACGGAGAGCTGTACCAAGATGTATTGTACAGAAAATGTGATATTTTTGAAAGGCATGTTAAATGTCAGGAATGCTCTGAGCAGTGTCACGAACCATGCTGGATCAGGACATGGTATACATAGCGCAACCGTGGCCGCGATGGTTCAGGCGCTTATCGAACGCCACATTTCTGATCCAGGCATGTATTTATGCATATATATTTATCTGTACTATTACTCATCTAATCTGTGTAGTTGAGAGCATTTATGGATTAGCATGTGTCGGTATGCATTTCGATGTCTGTCTTGTGGAGGTTATATAAATATGAACATGGAGCTAATCTCACTGCATCATCGCCAATGTGTTGAATACAGCACGACTGCGGACGAGAATGTTCAGGCAAATTATACTCATTTGTATATATTATTATGCATCTGAACGTGTGGGTTTTCGAACAAGTAAATCAGTATTAATACATTAATATTTATATATATAAATATATATATATTTATATATATACATATATATATGTGTGTGTGTGTGTGTGTGTGTGTATATATATATATATATATGTATTCTATTTAATATATATACTTAATAAAATAAATATTATATATATATATACATGTATGTATATACATATACATAGATGTAGATATTGCTTGATCGTCGGTCGTTCATAGTTTTCTCACTTTTCCTAATTCAACCCTTCATTGCCCCTATCACAAACAGAGCCTTTAATGGAAATAAACATCTCCAGTCAAACTAGAGAAATTATCCTAGACGAAATGTCTTATCTGAGGTCTGATCTCATCAGCGATGCTCTTTTACGGTCCCTGGATGAAGCTGAGGAGAGGGTATGTTCCATGCTTATGTCAGCTAAGGCTGACTTCTTAACCGATGCGGAGGTTAGCGCACACCTGCGTCGCATGTGGGCGAGTGAACGTGCAGGGTTGGTGGTGAAGGTGGTGGCTGAACACGCCAACGTATGAGATGCATATTAATGTATACTAGCACACAATGGTTAAACCCCTAAAACATATATTGAGCAAACAGGTACGCTGTGTATGTACTGTAGACACAGACACGCTGTATATACCTACATATATTGAGCAATCAGGTACGCTGTGTATGTACTGTAGACACAGACACGCTGTATATACCTACATATATTGAGCAAACAGGTACGCTGTATATACCTACATATATTGAGCAAACAGGTACGCTGTATATACCTACATATATTGAGCAAACAGGTACGCTGTGTATGTACTGTAGACACAGACACGCTGTGTATCAAGTCGCTCTGTATTCGATGCCTGAAGGGGTGCAAATTGGCGTCGTCTCTGGGCGTGTGGCACTGCTGGATTGGCGCCGGTAGGCGTGGCTGAGTCCGACTATGCTGCGGGAGCTGAACTGGGTATACATTCAGGTGCATGGAACCTGCACAAGTTCTGTTCATGCGGTGTATGCATGCTTGTCTATAGGCCGTGTGCATGTTCAGGCTGGCTTCTTAGGCGAGACATAGGTTCGTATGCACTCGTTGGGTTGGCGTTATATGAGCTGGTTGCTCGCTTGCAGCTAGCCATGGTGACGCTTACAAATGTACGTACACATGTATTGTGTACACGTAAACTAAGGGTAAGGGTGCGTACTTGCTTGGGTGTGCTTCCTATCCAGCGCATTGGTGAACGCCATGCCCAGATGCCCGTGTATCAGCGAGTATAATAGCCCATGTATATACAAGTCACTTAATGGGAAGGGCACAGTTCATCATCCGCAGTGAGCGGAAGTGAGAACACCAGTGGAACTCAATGGACGCTGGCGCTGGTGTGTCGTCGCAAGGGGGCGTTGCAAGTTCGGTACCACTTGTTTTATGGAGGGACAATGCGAGGCGGTGAAAATCTGAAAATCTCAATACAGTAGGACGTTGACGTCGTATACACGGGGCAAGGACCGTTTATTTCGAATATGACGTCCGTTGTAAGCTTTTGTCGCAAATTATAGCTTCATAGTGCCGGACTGGTAGAACGTTTCTGATACATAACTTCCTGACGTCGGATCACATCACACTGAATTATTTCAAAATACACACACTTTTTTAGGATGGGCCAGATTTGTAAACTAGCACACTGCGAATTGAAATGAACTAGTGCGAACTAATTCCCACACACCGAATTAGTCTGAACAACACACAACCCTTAGGCCACACCACATCGAATTAGTCGGAACAGCACACACACACCTCTCCAAAATACACCGCACCAATTAGTTTGAACTAAACTACCAGATGAGAGAAAGAGCGGAAACAAGAATTCGGGAGCATTGCATGATGGGTGCGTTGAGTGGATCTCCTTCTCACCTACTTAGTTGTGTCTCGGAAACTGTTGCAGTGGGAACAATACCATACTTCAGGTATATAGGAACTACTACAGTGTATGGAAACCCTGTTTTTCACCACTTTCGAGGACTGAAATGTTTTTCACCAATTTCGAGGACTGAAACTTTATGTGTAGTAACAACTGCTATCACAGTGTCAAAAATAAAATAAAAGACTACCGCCGATGTTGTCGTAGCTCCGCTTTGCATATCTATTTGAGTATAAATTCAAACACCCAATACTCGATCGCCAAACCGGTCGATTCGCAATATATGTGCATATGTACATAAATAGGTAGATACATGACAAACATTCATCCATTCATTCATATATATATGGATACATAATGTTTTCAATATATATACATATAATATATATTTATATATTCATACACACTGTTTTTTATGTATATACATACATACATATGTAACTACATACATGCATACATACATACACATTCATACATGCATACATACATATATACACACATACATACATACATCCAAAAATACAAACATACACACACACATACACACAAAAATACATACATACATACATACATACATACATACATACATACATACATACATACATACACACATACATACATACATACATACATACATACATGCATACATTCATACATACATACATACATATATACATACCTACATATATACCAACATACATACATACATACATACATACATACATACATACATTCATACATACATACACACATACACACATACAAAAATGCATATATACATACATGCAGACATACATACATACATACATACATACATACATACAAACATATATTATATATATATATATATATATGTATATATATGTATATA